AAAAAAAAAAAAAAAAAAAAATACATATACCTTTTGGCTGGACGCGGTGGCTCACGCCTGTAATCCCAGCACTTTGGAAGGCTAAGGTGGGTGGATCATGAGGACAGGAGATCGAGACCCTGCTGGCCAACATGGTGAAACCCCATGTCTACTAAAAATACAAAAATTAGCCAGGCATGATAGCATATGCCTGTAATCCCAGCTACTCAGAAGGCAGAGGCAGGAGAATCACTTGAACCCAGGAAGCAGAGGTTGCAGTGAGCCAAGATTGCACCATTGCACTCCAGCCTGGGTGGTAGACTGAGACTTGGTCTCAAAAATAAAATAAAATAAAATAAAAAATAAATAAAATACATATACCCTCTGACCCAGCAGTTGCAGTCCTGGGAATCTATCCTCTGAAATAAAACCATTAGTTTCAATAAAACTATTGGAGTAAAAACACTATAGGACATATGTCCAAGGACATTTGTTGCAGCATTTTAAATGGCAACACACACACACACACACACACACACATTGTAAATACTATGGATGTCCATCAATAGAGTGATGGTTGCAAAAATTATAGTACATTCACATTTTGGAACATCCATAAAAAGGAATGAACGTGTACTCTACCAGTTGATTTAGAGGGATTTTACCCACAAAAATGTTTTGGGCCAGGCACGGTGGCTCATGCCTGTAATCCCAGCACTTTAGGGGGCAGAGGCGGGTGGATCATGAGGTCAAGAGATCGAGACCATCCTGGTCAACATGGTGAAACCCCGTCTCTACTAAAACTACAAAAAAATTAGCTGGGCATGGTGGTGCGTGCCTGTAGTCCCAGCTACTCGGGAGGCTGAAGCAGGAGAATTGCCTGAACCCAGGAGGCAGAGGTTGCGGTGAGCCGAGATCGCGCCATTGCACTCCAGCCTGGGTAACGAGAGCGAAACTCCGTCTCAAAAAAAAAAAAAATGTTTTTAGTAAAAGAGACAAAAAAGTAGTCACTTTTTAAATGACAAAAAAACTGCATTGAATATGTATACATTTGTATTTGTCTATACGTGATTATATGAGTACAGAGAAAAATGTTAACAAGTAGGTTGATACATTGGTTATGGGGGTGGAGGGGACAGTTGATGGGCTAGCAGATGGTGGGGGAGGTAGAGTCAAGGGAGAAAGAAAAAATAAAATAAGAACCAGAGGATTTTTTATAATCTCTATATGAACCAGTAATCTTGTATTACAGTTAAAAAATCAAATGCAGTCTTAGGGGTATTGATATATTATACTGTGACCAAATTAAAGGACATAATAATCCCAGTGTGCTTTATGCTGTTTACATCAAATCTAGCATATTGTACTAATTTCTGGACATCACACTACAAACAAAACAAATAACGCCCTACTTGTCACTGCCAAAAGAAATAAATTGTTTTTCTTCTAAGAGGAACGGTCCGCCAGGCACGGTGGCTCCAACACTTTTGGAGGCTGAAGTGGGAGGATGGTTTGAGCCCAGGAGTTTGATAGCAGCTTGGGCAACATAGGGAGACCCCGTCCCTAAAAAAGAAAAAAAATTAGCCGGGCACGGTGGCTCATGCCTGTGGTCCCCGCTACTTGGGAAGTTGAAGTGGGAGGACTGCGTGAGCCCAGGAGATCTAGGCTGCAGAGAGCAGTGATCACATCATAGCACTCCAGCCTCAGTGACGAAGTAAGACCTTGTCTCAAAAAAACCCAAAAAATAACAACAACAAAAAAAAAACGAAAAGAGGCAGTGGCTCACTCCTGTAATCCCAGCACTTTGTGAG